TGGGAAACTACTTTTACGGCTCTTTATTCCTCAGAGGTGGGACTCTTCGGCTAGGCCAAATCACGCCACGCTTTGCTCGTTGCCATCTCAGCGAGACGGTATGGCTGGAACATGACCGGGTCCAAGCCTCGCTGAATAGAGGCCCTTCCCGAGGAACATAGCTCAGTTCTCACCTTTTATTCGTCTTCTATCGATGGCTAGTTCAGATCCCTGCGAACTGCCTCCACCAGAGAAGCGAGCCCGATATAGCCTTACAGAGCAGATGCTCCCAATACCTCCCACGTAAGTTTAGCCTCATACATTTATTATGCTCTTTATTTTGTTCCTAAAATGCTCTGGTTGCAGACGATTTCTTGCTCCGCCCATATGGCAACGAGTTGAGGATGAAGAAGAGGAGATGTTTGGACATTTAGTGGCGCTTCGACTCTCAAAACTCAGCACGAAAGCACGAGAACTGGCCAAGGTGGGGCATCACCTGTCTCGTCTGATTTCCCTCATAATCCATGCTGTTGCAGATGCGGGTCTTGCAAGTGTTATTCGATGTGCAGTTTGGCGCTGGCGCTAATCCCTCATCATGATCTCATTCGACGGTAGTCCATAGTATACCCGGCGGCAGTACTGCACTTAGTCCATTCCCCACTACCTTCGTATACAACGGAATCCTGACAGAAGATATCTCTATTGAAGATTTTTCTCAAGTTATAAACTTTTTAATTTAAAATGTTCTGTTTTGTCAACTGAAGACGGCCCTTCTCAAGTGGGAGGTGCCGCTCTACTTTTCGGCAACATTCAGCTGCAGGCACGCTATTGGTTGTTTGACCATTTCCCGCTACTTACGACCACCCCCCCCCCCACCCCAGAATTACGCGCCCTTAATTACGGACCCCCCCTGTCACGAGGGCTACAAATGAAAAGAAGTGCAAAAGCGGACGAAGAAAATTTGCAAAGCAGAACTGCGGCGCTATCGAACTTTCCTACGCCAAAAAAACTAAAAAAAATTTGTGCTGAAACTTTGTCTATAGATGTTATTCGATGTCCTGATCACGAGTCTGACATCATTTTCCATACCAGCGCTATTTGGCACTCTGCTGAGGCTGAAACTGAGAAAAAGGGAAGATTTCCCGCAGGTCAGGCTCAGTCTTAGCAAAGCGCAGATGACCATAGTGTCCTACGTTAGCGCTGGCGCCGCAAGAATAAATATCGTATTCGTAATCAGGTCATGTCAAATAACCCCCGTAATTACAAGTTTCATCGATTATTGCGTGATCAGAGATATGTTTGGCAAACGGCGCCTGTGGTGCTACCGCCAAAATACCTGAATCACCGAAATCGATGAAAAGTTTTTGGCAAAGCGGCGTGGTGATATTCGTGTTCAGGAGGTCGAAGTACCACTGTAACAATTTCCATCCAAATCTGCCCCTCTAGAAAAAAATCGATAAAAAATTGGCCTGATTTCGGCAGACTGGGGTAGGAGTAGTTCGATAATGCCAAATACTACAACAATACAATCTTAAAAAACTACTAGAAAAAAAGAAAATATCTTAAAAATACCAAACAAACGACACAAAAACTCACCAGAAGTACTAGGAACTATGCATTAGTTTTTGAATATTAGTTGTTCGCGGTCATCCGCACGCGAGCCCTAATACACGCGCTAATACAAGCGCACATTGGTGTCGCGCGCTATTTCACGACTTGGGTGGCCAATTTCAAGCAAACACTCGAAAAAAGTACCCCTCTTTTGAACACCCATAACTTCGTTGAAAGTAAAGCTCTCAGAGAGGGAAAGTGGGAATGAGTGGAGCCAGGTTGCCTCTTGTTACCTAAGTTTGAGCGATTTCAAAAATATTTCTTTTCTAGAAATATTTTCCCGTTGCTGACCCTCGGCGTGATCATGGGGGGGGCAACCACAAGTCGCTACGCTTTGGACGTCCATGGCAAGCTTCATACACGGCCTTTCGTAAAAAAACTGTGCCGGAAGCGCGAAGCTTTCTACTTTCCAGCAAAACTTTCATTTTATCCCTAGGCCTGCTATTCGAAAAAATTCCCCGTTGTGATCATAGAAAAAACTCCCCACGGCCCGAAAAATCAACCCCTTCTTCTTCTTCTTCTTCTTCTCCCTAGCGTTAGTCCCGCGCCGTCGCAGGGTCCGCTGTTCTTGTTAGATGTCGCCACTTGATCCGATCCACTGCATCTTCTGCTGTGGCTTTTATTTCCGTGAGGTCCCTCTTGATGACGTCCCTCCATCTCTTCTTTGGGGCTCCTCGTGGTCGCTTGCCCTCTACCTCGAGTTCCAATGCCTTCCTTATTGGGTGGTCTTCAGGCCTCCTCAGTACGTGCCCATACCATCGCAGTCGCTGCTCTCGTGCCTTCAGCTGGATCGGAGCCGTCTGTGTGACCGCTCTGACGTCCTCGTTTCTGACTCTGTCGAGTCGTGTCCAGCCGCAGGCCCATCTCAGCATCCTCATTTCAGCTGAGTGTAGCTGCCTTTCATGGTTCTTGCAGATGGGCCAGCATTCGCTGCTGTAGAGCATTGTAGGCCTTACCACTGCCCGGTACACCTTGCCCTTGAGCGTTCTCGAGCACCGTCGGTCGCACAGGATGCCAGTGGACTCCCTCCATTTCATCCAGGCTGCGTTGATTCGGGCTTTCACCGCCTGATCCACGCTGCCATCAGCTGCTAGGTTGCTCCCCAGGTACTGGAAGTCTTCGACCCTTTCGATGCTCTCGCCATGGCGATCTACGATGGGTTCAGTGCACTCTTCGGAGCTCAGGAACTTGGTCTTCTTTACGTTCAGCCGGAGTCCATTTTCAGCGAGCACATCCTGCCACCGCTGCACCTTGTCCTGGAGTTCTTCCCTGCTGTCCGCTATCAGGGCGATGTCGTCAGCGTAGAGGATGGTTTTCAGTGGCCCCTCCATGAGTTCTTTTGCCATGACATCTAGCGTCAGGAGGAAGAGGAACGGGGAGCGCTGATTCCTTGAGATGCTACCCCAACCTTACATGTTTACCTCTTCGGTCAGCCGTAAGGGGTGCGCTACAGCTGCGCTGCTTTTAGCCCCATCGTACATATCCTTCACTATGGAGATCAGGTGCTCCGGAACGTTACGTTCTCTGAGCGCTCTCCAGAGTACAGGCCGAGGCAGGCGGTCGAATGCCTTCTCAAGGTCCAGGAAGGCTAGGTAGCACGGTCGCCGCTTCTCTCTGTACTTCTCCATCAGCTGTCTGGCGATGAAGATGGCATCGGTGGTGGACCTCTCGGGCATGAAGCCGAACTGTTCCTGCGAGATCGGACAAGTTCCCTTAGCCTTGTGTTGACCAGGCGCTCGTACAGCTTCATGGTATGGGGAGTCAACTTGATGCCGCGGTAGTTGGAGCACTCCGTCGCGTCCCCTTTCTGTTTGAGATGGGGATGCTGCTCCTCCACGCATCTTGGCATCCTTCCTTCAGCTGTTACGTTGTTTAGGAAGTCTGTGAGCCAACTCACCCCATGCTCTTCCAGGGCCTTCCATGCCTCTATCGGCACCCCGTCTGGACCCACTGCTTTCCCCACCTTCATTCTGCCTAGCTCTCGGCGCGGACTTCATCTTCCGTCCAGGGAGCGATGGGGCCTGCCGTCGCCTCTATCTGTGGGCTGTCCTTGCGGGGGAATTCTTCGCTTAGAAGTCCCTCGAAGTATTCTTCCCATCTCTTCCTGACTTCGGCTGGTTTCCTGAGAATGGCCCCATTGCTGCTCTTCACAGTCTTTACTACCCTGATGTCCTGAGCACCGCGATGTCGAGCTTTGGCCAGGCGGAAGACGAACTTGTCCCCTTCTCGGCCCTCTAGCTTGTCGTACAGGGCGTCCATTTCCGTATTCTTAGCCTTAGCGACGGCGCTGCTTAGCGAGTCGCTTGCAGCTTTTGTAGGCAGCCAAGTCTTCTGGACTCCTTGTCTTTTGCCAGCGTTTATATGCTTCTTTCTTCTGCTTGACGACCCGCTGGACTTCCTCGTTCCAGAACCAGGCTGCCTTGTCTCCTTTGATGCCACCCCGGGTCTCTCCCAGGACTTCCTTTGCGCACTGTAGGATGAGCTCGACTGCGTGGGTCCAGGTGTCCTGGACTGGCCCATGTGGGTCTGGAAGTCCAGCCTTCAGAATTCTTTGGCCGAGGCTAACCTTTTCTACCCTGCTCATTTTCCACCACCGGATTCTCCTCTCTGCTCTCACCCTCGTCTTCTTGGGGAGGTCTATGGCGATATCTGCCAGGAGAGGCCTGTGCTGCGGGGCCAGCTCTTCTCCAGGTAGCACCTTGATGTCCTTGACGGTTTTGAGAGACGATCTTCTGACCAGGACATGGTCAATTTCCGTTTGTCTCCCTCCACTGCTGTAGGTTATCTTCTGAGTTCTCCTTTTCGCGAAGAAGGTGCTACAGATTGCTAAGTCGTGGGCTGTGGCTAGGTCAAGGATTCGTTCTCCCTCAGCGTTCCTTGTCCCTATTCCTTGCCCTCCGTGCACCCTTTCTAGATTTCTTCTGTCCTTCCCCACATGGCCATTCAGATCCCCAGCTATGGTGAGGTAGTCCTCTTCCGGACGAATATCTTTATGGCCGTCGTCCAGGGTCAGGTAGAACTCATCTTTTTCCGCCTCGGAGCAACCGGATTGTGGTGCGTACATGGTCAGCACAGTCCAGTACCCCTCCCTTGTGTCCATTCTCACTCCCATGATACGATCAGAGATTCTGTTCACGGAAGAGACGCAGTCCTTGAGGGATTCAGCTACCGCTATGGCCACGCCATTCCGTTTGGTGTCTGCTCCATTGTAGAAGAGTTTGACACCTTCTCCAATCTCGCGGGCCTTCGCACCCTTCCATCGCGTTTCCTGGAGGCATAGCACTTGTATGTTCCTCCGTCTCATGAGGTCGGCAACCTCACGAGACTTCCCGGTAAGCGACCCCACGTTCAGGGTCCCAATTCGAACTAGCTTCTTTGGCCGAGGTCGTTCACCCCTCGGTAGCCCTCGCATACTGACCACAGAACTCGGGCGAGGGTTCTGCGCGCCACTTCCGGGTGACGTCCTAGCTTTTACACTGATTCTATTGCGACTTTTCATGGTTGTTGTGACGGGTTCCTCCATCAGCCGGCCTGTCAACCTGGGCCTGACGCTGGTATCGTCCCCATTTTTGCAATTTTTGCAAGGCAGGTTTGTGCCTCGGCAGGGATCGAACTCGTGACCTACTTCAGCGTGGTTGCGAACACGAGCCGCCTTTCTTAACCACTCGGCTATCCCTGCCCCCGCAAAAAAAGACAAAATCAGAATGAAAAATCAACCCCTCCGACGCCAGAAAATCTCCAGTTGGCTTTAAGACATTGGTATGCTTCTAAAACGCATGTTTTTGCCAAGGATACCAGGAAATAGTTCATTGGACGCCAATTGGCATCACCTCTGCATTGCGCCATGCACTAGCGCTTTCACGCAGAGCTATTGGGAAGGTGCAACTTCTAGAAAGGGCTTCCTTCGTGCAGGTAGATGTGCTTGCACGGTCAGAAAGGCTCGGAAGTGTATTTTCATCTGTTTACTTAGTTCGGCGATATTCACGGC